CTTCCCTGCTTCACAGGTCCCCTACTCGCCGGCTGGTCCAGCTTGATGCTCGCTAGCCAGCACACATGCACTCACACTTGTCCCTCATGCACTCCACATTCACAAGTCCCCCTGGGTATACGAACACAGACCTCCCACCTGATACCCTGGCCCAGACCTGAGATCCGCTACTCACTGGCTAGTCCAGCTTAAAGTTTGCTAGTGAAAACACATGCAGACCTCATGCACACCAGGATTGGGGAAGATACAGATGCTGCGCCCCCAGCAGCCACCACCAGGCAGACAGGCTGTGACTCATGGTCCTGCTCCAGCCACTGGTAGGTTTGTATAGCACTATCGATTCTCACACCCTTCACAGTCCAGGTCTCCCCTGGCTTGCAGTCTTACCCGTTGCAAAGTCCAGGCTGGTCTTCCCGGAAGTGGCACCTGTAGTTTCTTGATAGCCCATCAATTAGTGGCGATGTTTGTTTCTTGTCATTGTCTCTATGTTTTGTCAGGTCTGTGTCTCTCTATATTTTGTTTCTGGTTTCCCCCTTTTCCCTCAGTTTCCCGATTGACAAGATCCCCAATCAGCTAGCCTCACTAGAATAAACATTCTCATTCTCTGACATGCTCTCATCAATTAGTGTGGCTGACCATGTTTGGTTGTCATCACTGCCTCCCTTATCGTTTGTTGGTCATGTTTGTGTCCCTGTATGTTCTTGTCACTCTCCTTTGACAGCTACCAGTCCATTGGAAGTACTTGGAAGTAATTAAAAATACTTTCAGTCCACAGTGCTACTAAATCACTATCAATAGTTGTGAAGTATGGCAATTCAGCATGTCTAGTGTCAACAGTTCTGCACCAGCAAGACACAGCACAGATTTTATCATCGGCCTGGAAATTGACGGAGGGCCATGACTGTGTTCCCCTCCCAGCTTTAGCCGAAGAGATACACAGCCCACCACACATTGTCCCTCAGTTGTGTGTGTGCTGTCTCTAGTAGCTTCCACATGAACGCTGACCTTTTGAAGACACGTTGCTGACTTTCTGCTATCCCTTTCCTCACCTTCAGAGATGTTGTAAGATGCGCATTGCCAGTCATTTACAATGACAGGGATACATCCAGAGCAACCTTGTAAACTGCTGTCATGTTCTTCAGGATTGTAACATAAAAAGTTTTAACACATGAGGTAGTTTGGGAAGTTAAAAGTTAGCTTATTTCTAATGCATTGCAGTTTTCAGTGTGATCCATTTTACCTTCTAGGGTCTTTCTGTTTTGAAGACATGCAGTGATGACATGAGGTCATTTCTTTGCATGAATCTTTTGAGTTAGACCCTTATGTACAAATGTTTGATTTGACTTGTTTAGCCTAACTTTGCTTTCAGGACAGATAAAGGTAGCTGCTGTTCTATAGAAAATAGGTTTAGTTTGCTGCTGAGCAGTCTTAATTGGTCCTCTAATTTTAATATACGAATAGGAAACTAATTCATTTACATGGCTAGTTCTTTGTAAATCACTTCAGTTTCATTATGATAAGATCTAAACTGCAAGAGCATTTAATGGTTAGCTTATAATAAGTCAGAAACGTGGGATAATTTTCCAGTCAGAACACTGTCATGTTCAACTACTTAATTCATCGATTTCTACAGTGTTTGAGTAAGCTGAAGCATTGACGTTTTGAACATACAGAGCAGCCCTGCCGAGAAGGGCTTGGGGGCACTGGTGGATGAAAAGCTGGACGTGAGCCCGCAATGTGCGCTCGCAGCCCAGAAGGCCAATCGTATCCTGGGCTGCATCGAAAGAAGCGTGGCCAGCAGGTCCAGGGAGGTGATTCTGCCCCTCTACTCTGCTCTGGTGACACCCCACCTGGAGCACTGCGTCCAGCTCTGGAGCCCTCAGCATAAGAAAGAGAGGGACCTGTTGGAGCAGGTCCAGAGGAGGGTGTCCTGGTTTCGGC